GCCATCAAGGTCTATATACTCTGATAGATTTATACCAAGTAGATCAGGATCCAATTTCGCACTCTTCGATCTCGCTCCGTCTCCGAGTAAAGACGGTAAGGAAGATGGAGCTGGCTCTTACGCGAATCTGTTGCGTGCAGCGATGTTTGGACCGGAGACGCCGGAGAAAAGAGATATTACTGGTTTCTCTTCGTCGAGGAATATTTTCCGGTTTAAGACGGAGACGAATCGGTCCTTGGATTCGTTTTCTCCTTTTGTGTCTGATGAAGCTCCTGGTGTTAGTCATAGTCCGATCAAGTCCCCGAGGAAGGTCTCGCGATCGCCGTATAAGGTTGGTTTTTTGGATTTCTGATGTTCCGATTTCTGGGGATCGTGCATTGTTGATTGATTCATATTTTGAGATTTTAAACAATGAATCTGGATCATATCTTAAGTAGATGTGCATTGTGTGGAAATTTGATTGTTTGTGTAATGTCTACAGATTTGGGGTTTTAGAGTCCTTAGATTCTCGATCTTGTTGACTTATTTTGTTCGATTTCATTGATGCATGAAGCGTTATGTGATCTTTTGTGATGTTTTGTTCTCTGATGATCTAGAATTGGAGTTAGAGTGATCTGATGAAACCGTTATTGAAGAATGCTTGTTGTTTACTGTTCTTTCAATAGCTAGGAGTGTGTTATATAGATGTGTGAAGTTTGTTCTTGTTATTGGATTTGGATATTTTGTTTATGGGTAATGTTGCTACAGATGAGATAACAGAGGTTTTTTTGTTTGTGTTGTTAGGTATTGGATGCACCGGCATTGCAAGATGATTTTTATTTGAATCTCGTGGATTGGTCCGCACAAAATGTTCTTGCAGTGGGACTAGGGAATTGTGTGTATTTGTGGAATGCTTGTAGTAGCAAGGTGAGTTCTTTTGTCACCTTTTCAACTTCTGCGTGTCGTCACAGCAGTTTCAAATTGTTTTGATGTTGATTTCTTCCTTGCAACTCAACAGGTAACTAAGTTATGTGATCTTGGGACTGATGATAGTGTTTGTTCAGTGGGTTGGGCGTTACGCGGAACTCATCTGGCTGTTGGAACTAGTACCGGGAAAGTGCAGGTTAGATCTCATTTATTTTTTGTTTATGTACACCTAACAACTTACGTTACTTCCAACTTTTCGAATGTGAGAAGGAATATTGTAAAATAACTACTTACAGTAACAACATGATTAGACTTTATCATATGGACTGTAGGATTCATGCCATTTTTGTTATTGTAATCTTGATCATTAGTGGTATGATATCAGGAGGTTATTACAAAGATATTTTTCTTTTAACAAAAATATAATGTTAATATGCTCGAATAAAACATGATCAAAGGTTTGTAGGTATTCAGACGTTGTCTTGAGTGAGTTAAATCCATGGTGGCTTATATGGAAAGTATCTGAGCGTATCTAAAACAATGGCAGATAGGATCTTAAAACATATTGCTGTTTTTCTTTGAGTTTGAGGAGGAATTTATGACTTTCTTTCAATAATAAATTTCACTTTAATTGTGTTGTGGTAGATATGGGATGCTTCGCGCTGCAAGAGAACAAGAACAATGGAAGGTCATCGTCTAAGAGTTGGAGCCCTCGCATGGAGCTCATCGGTTCTATCATCTGGTAGCAGAGACAAGAGTATTCTTCAGAGAGACATACGATGTCAAGAAGATCATGTCAGTAAACTGACAGGTCACAAATCTGAAGTATGCGGACTCAAGTGGTCTTATGACAACAGAGAGTTAGCATCTGGTGGAAACGACAATCGGGTACGTACTATTATTTTCTTCATTTCCGGTTACATTAGTCCTCTATTTAACCGCCAAAATGGCTAAAGTTGTTTAGAATTTTGCAGCTTTTTGTATGGAACCAACATTCAACACAACCAGTTCTGAAATATAGTGAACACACTGCAGCGGTTAAAGCCATTGCTTGGTCTCCTCATGTTCATGGGCTTCTTGCTTCTGGTGGTGGTACTGCCGATAGATGCATACGTTTTTGGAATACAACGACAAATACACATTTAAGTTCCATAGATACTTGCAGTCAGGTAAATTTCTCAACTTGACATGAATTCACGAAACATAACCCGAAATAATAAACCATCTCTCTTTATGCATATGACAGGTATGCAATCTGGCTTGGTCTAAGAACGTAAACGAGCTGGTTAGCACTCACGGATACTCCCAAAACCAAATCATTGTTTGGAAATACCCAAGCATGTCCAAAGTATCTCTATAACCTTTCGTCTCTGTATATTACTTACTCTCCATGATTAAGGATTAATGGTTAACCGTCTCTCTTTTTCTGGTTCAGATTGCAACTCTGACCGGTCACACATTTCGGGTTCTATACCTTGCGGTCTCACCGGATGGACAGACGATTGTAACCGGAGCAGGAGACGAAACCTTAAGGTTCTGGAATGTGTTCCCTTCCCCAAAATCTCAGGTACATAAAAAAAAAAAACTTATCTACTGCATCTTTAATCCCAAAATGCTATGTTTCAGAGGAAATGATTCGATCTGTTTGTCTTTTACGCAGAACACGGATAGTGAAATCGGGTCATCTTTCTTTGGTAGAACAACAATTCGGTGAAAATCTATACAAACACAACATATATGGTTTCTTCATTTCTTCAACAACAACAGCTTCAGCAACTGAAGTTGGTCTTCTCAACCAACTTTTTTCACACAGAGGAGGAGAGTCAGTAAATTCTTTTTTCACACGGATGCAAAAAGATCTAACCCTTTGATAATAATACAATCAGGGTTAGTCCAAAGATGCTCAAGAAATTTTCTCTAAAGATTTGTTTCAATTGTATATCTTTATTCAAATTTGTCTTCATATATCATATAGAATTTGATTGTATTTACTTACGAACACAAACATTTTGATATGATTCAAGATAATAAATGCAATGCAACTATTTGTTGCCGTTCTCTTATTGTATTACTTCTTCTTTTCTTGCCTAATTTAGGTAGGCAACTACACGTAGACAGAGACGAATGGGGTCAACATTTATTTTGGGTTTTTAAAAAGAAGAAAATTGTGAAGAAAGATTACCAAATAGTTCCAAATATATGATTTGGAATCATTAGAAAAGCAAAGAAGAAGTGGCTGGTACGCTTTGTAAACCAGACAAGTCTTTGCCCCTCTCACACTCTCTTATCTCTTCTCCTTCACGTTTCTCCTTACTTTCACGTGTTATGTTTCAATGATTTTTCTCAACTCCTCCAATATATATTTCTAGTAAATTCATCTAGTATACAAATCTATCACCTTAAGTTACTAATTAGTGGCGAAATATCATTATGATCTTGTGAATGAGAGAGATATAGAGTAAAGACTCAATAGCAAGCAGCATATTTAACATTTTTAAACTTAATTTTGTACTATTTCACCTACAAATAATCATTATTTTTCCTATACCAACATTATGTACACCAACCAAACCAATATTTTAGATCCACCAAAAGATCTTCCTTTCACTTTACAAACCACTAAAAAAGTTTTTTAAACTTGTGGATTCGATTAAAATCACTAGAGTTTCTCCGGATTAGGAGTAGGAATTCCTTCAGGCTGAGTCCCAGAGTAATCATTAACAGCTTCATTACTCAGACTATGAGACCATGGAATCGAGCTAACCGCTGGGAAACAACAGCTGCATTCGTCCGCGCACCGAGCCTCGGGAAGGGTTCGAGTCTTGTAACCATCAGGCGAAGTAGCTTCCCAAAGCGGACCCCAACATTCGACTCTGTTGAACTCATCAACGTTAGAGTGGAAATAAACCCAAACAAGAGCTTCTTGCAACTCAGGAAAATTGTTCAACAAGTTC